TCCCCTATACTCAAGTGTTGCTTGAGGTATGGGATATCTTCCTCCTAACTGGTATGTTCTAGAACCAAAGACTCTAGATGTTCTGGGAGCACTAGAATTTTCTTCAATTTCGGATCTAGTTGGAGCACTAGGGTTCCGGTTAGGATTCTAATTTGGATTTTGAGGGGTTACATTCATGAATATTTTTCCCTGTTGGGATTCGTATTCATGAATAATTTGAAGTATGGGTTTTTTATTTTTGAAGTAAGCCTCAACTGGAAGTTCTAGATCTAGAATTTGATCCTCAATGTCTTCTCCATGGTATTTCAGTGTTAAGACTTCTTCAGCATTAACTTCTTTTCCTTTTGAAGAAAAGTAAGTTTCAATGTATTCCCATTCTTCATTATATTTGTCTTTGATTGGTCCCCATTTTGCAAAATGTTCTTCCCTTTTTCTTAAGGTTTGAAGCCAAGAAGGTTCACTTTCTTCATTTTCAATTTCTTCAGTGAGGTGTAGCATCTTGATTTCAACTGTTTCTTCATTTTTTTCTTGTTCAGGAAGAATATTTTCATAATCACTAAAGCTTAGACTCGTTTCTCCCTTATAATTTTGATATAAGGTGTTTCGAGTGGGTACCATTATGGGCTTGCTGAGGAATTTGGTTATGTTCCATTCAGTTCCATTCAGATAGGTTGAATCTAAATGTTGAGCTTGAACGACCTTAATTCCCTTTGTTCCAAATATTTCACATATTTCTTCACTGGTTACTCTATAATTGGTTGTGCCATTATGAGTTATTTGGCCAGTGAATCCTATGCAAACTAAAAGGTTTTTTTCTCCCTCAGCCATAGAATAGCCTTTAGTCATGATTCCTATTTTTAAAAATTGTTTAAAGGCTTTTATATTCATTTGGAAATTGGGAGTAAAATAAGCAAATCCCCCTTGTTCAGATAGGTCTATTTCGATAGATCCTATAAGGGATTGAATCATATCCTGATGTCTTGTGTCTAAAAGAGTTAAAAGGCATTTTGTACCTAAACCCTTTCTATGAAGTGTTTTGACTCCTATAGTGATTAACCCTATGTGTACCAATGAATATTTCATTCTTTCGAGACTAAAATACCATTTTCACTTAACAATCTTAGGGTAACACTATCACTGTCTTTGACACAGGAGATTTGAACTTCCTGATAATGCTGAAAGATTGATCCAGCACTAACAGAGAATTGGCATTTTCATAAAGATACTTGGGTTTGACCAAGTCAAATTTATGAGTTTTGAATCCTTTTATTTGTTCTTCAAGATCTATTAAAGTTTCGACTTTTATAGATTCTTGAATTTGTTTTCCTTTGGAGAACATCCTAATCAGAGGGTTGCCTGTGATTTTAGATGATTCCATGATTTTTGGATTTTAAGGTAACACAAGGTAATTTCTTGAGACTTTTAGTTCTTTGGCCTTTATGTGGGGTAAAGACGAAAGACTAGATTTTATTTGTTTAAGATCTTCCTTTATGCTAATGATTCTTTGTAAATCTATTATTTCACTTGCTTCCTGAAGAAGATCTTGTTTCTTAGTCTCTTGATCTATTTCTGCAGTTCTTAAGTGCGTATCTTTTAAAAGATCTTTTATGTTTCTTATTTCACTTAAGATTTCTTCTTGGTTTTCAAGGATTCGTAGTAGCAAAATAATTTGGGTATTCTGCTGTCCTACTAATACCTGATCTTGGACTGCTAAGGGTTGAAAATTGGTTAATCCGTAGGGATTTCCTAATTTTCTTGCTTCTTTTAAAGCTTCTCTGTAGTTTGAATTTTGAGTGAAGGAGTTTCACCCATTCAACCCAAGAATTAATTTTTGAAGCTTTTGGACCTATTTAAACAACTCTTCTTGATTTTGGATCAAGGTAGTTGTTTGATGACAGAGGTTTTGAACAAATTGATTTGGTCCTTTGTTACTCAGAAATTGAGAATTAATTAAATTGACCTTGTTTTTGACAAATTCAATTTGTTGTTGCAAGTAATCTTGATTCTCAATTAGTTTCACAATATTTTTGTTGTAATGCTTTTCAAAGTTTTGGAACCTTTCGAGCACTACTTTTTCTTTTTCTTTTTGTTTTTTATAATTTTCTGAAAAATTTATAATTAGATCTACTATGCTATTTAACTGGCTATTATCAGAATGTAAATTATGACTAAAACCTGAAAAACTACACACTATAATATGATTATCTAAAGTTACTTTTGGTTTTTTATAAGGATGTGAAATAGCTAAATTTAAATAATCTAAACTCATAAAGATAAAATAATAATATCAACAGATAATAATATCAACAGTTATTATTTTGACGAAAGATAGACAAAACAGATAAGTATACAAAAGGAAGCCAAATATTAACAAAAGACAAAATAGTCAG